AGCGAACAAAAAAAAAAAAAAAAGAAAAGAAGAAGAGAGAACAAAGATAAAGATATGAAGAGTATAACGACGACGAGAGTAAGGGAGAGAGAGAAAGAGAGAGAGAAAGAGAGAGCGAGAGAGAGAGAGAGAGAAAGAGAGAGAATAGAAAATCAAGGAGAAGTGGCGATGGGAGGTAAAAAAAATTCGGTCTAAGACCACAAATATTTTGCGGCGGACTGAGCGGGACACAAACGAGAGAATCCGCTTTTGCTTCGTTCTGTGCGCGTGATACATCGATCTTTTATTTCTTTCTATTTTCTCTTCTCTGTATACTCTTTAGCCTGAAACCGCGTCATACTTAGAGACACGCATATACATCTCTAGCAGACCCTTCTTTTTTTTTTTGTTTCTTCGTACGAGACCGCGTTTTTCTTTTCTCTTTTTGTTTCCTTTCCGCTGCGTTTCCGGCTACACGGATAGATTTGCGGCCCTAATTGTATTCCCTCGTTTCGGCGACGCCATCGTTTTCTTTTTTCACTTGTGCAACACCCCGCGGATTCCTAGGTAAAGACAATCCTCGGTGAAGACGCGTCGCAAATCTTTTCGTGTTCTGCAAACGGGTAACATCGATCAACGTCAGAAAACAACGCAGTCGTCGCGAAACTGATTTTTCGGGTGAATCGGCGTAAAAGAGCGGGAGAAAAAGAGAAACGCGTGAATGTGGGCGAGAGAACGTGTGTTTTAATATTATAACGGATTCTTCGCTTTTCTGTTGCCGCGATCGAACACAACACAATTGGCAGCGAAACATTCGAGTCCAAAAACAAAATCAAAAAAAAAAAAAAAAAATCTGGGAAGATACGAGACGAACTGAGGGAGGAGATGGAAAAACACAAATGCTTCAAATAATAATAAAAAAAAAAAAAAAAAAAAGGAAGAACAGTGTCACGAGAATTCTGTGAAACGTCGCCCCTGCACAGCCCGCCACATCACAACAGAATCATTGAATGATTAAAATATAAACAAAAAAAAAAAAAAAAAAATGAATGATGTTTTATTAATATTGTACATATTTTAAATAATTGCAGACGGACAAACGGATCGCGCATGAACGGTGACCCACGAGGAGGCGGCCCGCTTGAATGGACCGCCTTTTCCGTACGGGTCTCGTAACTCTTTTTCTGTTTTTCGTTTTAGCGCCGCATATATGATACACACTTCACACACATACACACCACACACGCCGAGAAACACGTGCGAACATAGAGAGAAAAGATATACACACGTACACGCTCAGAGATAAATGGAAAAAAAAAAAAAGAAAATGTACACCGCTCTACCAAACTATCTCTTCTGATTGACGATTCCTTTCATATTGATTATTCTGTAAGTTCTGTTTTCACACGTGAATTACATTAAGGAAGAAACGAGAGACATTGTCCAACCCAAGTGTCATTACTTTTGATGTTAAATAAAAAATACATAATTAATAAAGCACTCTTTATCCTACCTCCCTGACTGGTATATACTTTCAGCACGCAAGCGTAGGAGAACATTTGTTACGGGACGGCATCGTTAGATGAATAAACGAGAGCTTACTCTTTAACTGTAGTAACATTTATTATACGTTATATACATCTGTAATTATTCCAGCTATGTTTGATTCGTATAAATTTTAATTTCACATATACCTTGGTTTTTTTCATTCAGATTCCGATTCAGCGAATTTCAGGCCATCCTTTCGTCGATTCTTTTTGCGCAGTCGTTTAATATGTTTCTTCAATTTGCCAGATTCTTTCAATTCCTCGTATTGAGAAACCAGACTCAATATTCGTTTTTCAGCTGTAGGAAACCATAATAGAATCATTATAAACAGAAACAGAATTACAGAATTGGAGTATATTAGTTTCCTATTTGTCTACTTACATTTCTTTTTAAATACTGGCTTTTGGCCCTGTTTGATGGCTTCGGCAATCTCCTTGTGTTCTTCATATTTCTTTTCCTCCTTTAATTTTCTTCTTTTCTCTTCGCGCAATTGATTCTCCAATCGTTGTATGAGATATTTGATCTTCTTTATCTTTTTGGGATCATCAGTCTCATTCAATTGCTTCTTCAGTTCTTTCAGATCATTCTGTTTTATCTCGTTAATAAATTCATAAGCCTTTCTAAACTCCTTAATGTCAAACGTGCCACATAAACTATCGAATCTAGGATCCCTTGGAATGTGTTTCTTTACTTGTATTACTTCTCTGAATCGCGGAACGGGTTTCTTTGAGGACATTTCACGTGGTCTGTTTTTATTTTCCCGTTTGAATTCCACTTTCTTGTTAACCTTGCGAGGACCAAACAGTGTTTCTTTATACACTTTACTGCCTAACTTTTGGTGCAGCTTTTGAAGATCCTCAAAGCTCATCTGCGAGAGTTCCTTTCTGATCTCATTCTAATTAATAAAAACATGCTTTAAATTATTTAAATATTTATGAATCTTATTGTGTAATTTAATATAGTGCCTATAACCTAACCTAAATTATGTACTGTTCATTACAAAACTAGAAAAAAATTATCTACTTATATAAACATTTACCTGATCTTCGTCTTCGCTAAGAAGAGCATCTACCTCGTCACTCATGTTAAATAATAAAATGACAACTCTCTGGTTCGATTTGTGAAAAATGCCCAAGCAGCGACCATATTTTTTTTTTCCATAGAAACTGTTTCGTTACTGCGACGATAGATGGAGATAAATTGTCATCCCAGTCTGTGTCGACCTCTAACGTTGTATATAGTTACACAGAAATTGTTTAAAAACGATAAAATTAATTAATTCTATTTCGCACAAAACATTTTGCAGCTTGGTAATTTATAATGACATTTATTACATCGATATCTTAACGCAATGTATGCGAAAATTTTTCAAATCCACGCATACATATTCAACGATGTGGAAAGAAGGAACTGAGAAAGTACATTTCGAATCGTATAAAATGTATAAATTTAGACGTGAGATGAGAATTTTATCAAAGAAAAATCATATTCCAAAGCCCGCGTTTCTGCTTTTAGTAAGTATTTAAATCTGTACGCGTGATGTTTTGTACTCGATGGTAACTTTTTGCAAATTTTCCGGTTATTGCGCAATATTACGAAATCGTTAATTTTACGTAACGCGTTATATCAATGTCGAAACATATTATCGTACATATATTCACGACAGGACCCTCTTGAACTGCGTAAAAGGATAATTATACTGCGTAAAAACTACAAGCCTGTATGGTGGCTCCCTCTGCTTAATTTTTGCAAATCGAGCATTCAAGGTTATCTGAGTCTTAAATCTAATAAATATCATTACTTCCTAATTGTATTAATGTTTCGTTACAAATGTAGTTGCTTTATTATTCGTTCCTATTCGCGATCCCATTATCGATACAACTCCTGGAAATTATAAATACTTCGAATCAAGGTACTTTTCACAAGTATTTACAAAGATGTAACGTCGCTACAAAAATATATGTAATATACTGAATATGCAGTTTAAGGAAATGTTTTTACCTTTTTTTATTTCAGGGCAGAAACTTTGAAGATATAATCTAACAGTACTCGAGATTAATGTTTATAGATACGAACTATTAATAAACTTGGCGCTGCATTTCATAAATTCTTAACGGCCGAATGAAATTACAGATTGTTGAATCATAGCATTGACTAGTCAATGCTCATAGTCGTCATTTAAAACTACGTTCGTCAGATGTGAACATTAACATTCTTCGCGTAGGGGCAGCACTGTCAGAACGGTCTAAAATGGCGGGTGTACTGTTCGAGGATATTTTCAACGTAAAAGACATCGATCCAGAGGGGAAGAAATTCGACAGGGGTGAGTCTGAAACGCATTTCACACTCTCGTCTATTTGTGGCCAGTGTTGGGATGAAATACGATCGGTTGTTGCCGAATTTTTAGCCGTTAGAGAGAGAACGTTCCGTCGATGCTCGTTCTTTGTGGAAGTTGCCGGGAAGCACATGGTGTGACAGTTCGATTTAAATAGCAATTTCCTTTGATGAATTTCCAAAAACACTGCTGCTGTTTAATTGGCACAAGTTCAGTTATTCATCTGTTTCTCAATGTTCGTTCGTCGACGTGCGTGTTGTGTAATTGCTTGGAACTAGGGATTTTAATTCCGCAAATCTGTGTAATGACTTTTTTTGTAAAGAGAGGGCGCGAGGATCGAGTATGTTTGACATTAATTTGAAAGGCGCAGCACTTTGTGACGATGTAATCGTATTCCTTTTATCGCCTTGAATTCTGATTTGAGATTCGCCGATTTGATATATCTTTCGCTCGGTGCACGTGGAGGCAACTTTGACGTGTAAAAATTGGATGACACGGACCGTTTCGCTAAACCCATAATCGAAAAACGCTATTGCGTGTTATTCCGTTTCTACCTGCCTCTTATCGATCTCTCATTTCATAATGTGTACAAAAAAATTGATGTACACTTTCGTCTCTCTCTGTCTGCTTCTACTTTCGAATGTTGGATTCTTAAGAAACTGTTGTTCAAAAATAAGACGACAGCATGTAAAAAGATTTAAATTTTTAAGCACGCATACCTCTCGAATGTTCCGAGACTGAAATTTATCATTGTAGGAAGTTTGTGTAGTGAAGGTCGTTTAAAAATTCACACACGTGCCAAAAATATGCGTCATTAACGTTATAGGCCAAAGAGTGCGTGCCAAATGTAACCTAAAGCCGTGTCTCCACTGCGTCGGTAGTCGCCGATCGGCAAGGCCGTTCGGTAGTGCCTAAAGCCGTGTCTGCATTGCGTTGATCAATCTAGAAAGCCGCATTTTCATTATGTTAGCATATAGCTATTGGTAAAGCCAGTTCGACAATGTCAGACAAGTGTAGTGTGCCGGTTTGGGCCTGACATGGCAAAAAGCCGATCGACCCGCCGATTGATGTCGATAAGTATCAAAAGAAATCGGCACTGGGTTCATCGTTGTCGAATATTTTGTCGTTGAGAGAGGAGACAGATGTCTACTACGATGCCAATGAAGTGAAGACGTGTAACAAATATCGGCAAAATTGATCGGCAGTACCAGATGCATAGCTTGAAAAAGATATACGAAACGATCTTGGTGTCGGCAAATATTTAAAAAAAGTTGAAAGCAGCAAGGCGATGCGTGTACGATATTTAAAAGGTGATTTCGTGATTTCACCCGTGATGCGTATCTAAAAAAGAATATGTTTACTACCTTTGGTTCTTTTTTTTAAGAGTACAAACTCAATTTTTTCAAGTCCATCGAAATCTCGCTCTGTGTTCCGAGTTATTTTTAAAACGCGCATTGTAGAATGGCTTTTCGTGTCGAGCGGTTCTGCCGATCGACAAATTGACAATGCAGTGGAGACGCGGCTTTAACGTCTCGCACTGGAATGACGTGCCACGCACGTCGAAAATACTTGGCTCAAAATTGCAATATTTTCTCAGTTTTAAGTTATATTGAAATATAATCCAGGCAGAACAAAATTATAAATTTATTACTTTTTAATAATTTCTATCCAGTGAATATACCGATGAATTCAAAAAGAAGATGAATTATTGTTTACGATTTGGTCACTCGTTATGGTCCGTGAACCAGTTACTAGCGCATGAGGTTAAAAAGCAAGTTTGTCTTTCTGCGCTGTGCGACACAAAGCTGCGGTCAAATTTTGAATTTTACTCCTTGCTATAAAATCTAAAACTTTATTGGTAGATCGTACTAATAAATTTTATAAATGACCTTAAAATTATTGGGAGTTTTTTTTTTTTTTTTTTTTGAAACCACTGTATACACGTGTTTTCATTACGTTACACGTTTCACAATTACGCAGACAAACTCTTCAAAATCAAAATCAAAATCAAAACTTAATCAAAAATTACAAAACAAACAAAATGATCGATCTTCGAGTAAATCGGACGTGTCCTGGACGATTTGACTCGCAGAAAAAGCGTGGCTTGTATCGCGCGCCACCCTATATTTTCACCTACATTATCGCCGGGAAAGGGTTCCTCTGGAACAGCGGCGTTCCACGCGGATGGGTGTTAGTGGGGCTAGCTAGGCGTGCGAGCGAGAGGAAAGATGGGATTTCGGTTAGCAGGGAAGAGAAAGGATACGACGGTTGGGCGTAGGGTGGGGGGTTTGGGTGGACGAGTGGCGGGACGCGGTTGGCTGGGAGCGGCTTCGAAGGCAGCTCGAACGATGGTGAGATAGGAGGGTGCTTGCTCCTTCGCGGTAAAAGCACCTTCCTTCTCCTCCTCTTTCTTCTCTCGACAGTGCCTACGTATTCGGTTTGTTCCTGAAAGCATCGCTCGCGAAAAATGCGACTAATCGGTGCGCTCCACGTGGCTGTAAATCGAGCCTGTCCGGCTGGAAACTTTTGCCGCGACGGAGCCCACTCTGTTCTCGTTTGCACGGGGTGGATTCTGCCGCGATAATTCACCACCGCCCGTCGGATATCCGTGAGATATCTCGGCCGGTATATCTTCATTCAAGGTATTCAATATCGATGCACGTACGAAATAGAAAGCTACCGGGGGAGGCTTGAAAAACGGCCACACCGCGAATGCCCGTCGTGTTCGACGGCGCGTCGTCCATATATCGCTGCGAGACTTTTCGAAAAACATACCGTCCGACTGGATACGGTGGATGGATCACACGGATGCGATTCCCATCGATATTCAGACTCTTCGTCAAATGTGAATTATATATTTCTCCTCGCTGTTGGTGGATTCTCGCGTTCTGTTTTTTAGAAATGTTCAAACGGCAAACGTAATATACGGGCAGTATACATGTATACCCCTACATGTGATATGTGGGTATTCGCGACCATCATTTACGCAAACATGTACGACGACGATTCCTCTCGACTTTCACCAGAAATGTTGATAGACGTTTATATAGGGTATATAGAATGAAAAGGGCGGTGGGACGCGATCCGCCGGCAGCTCGCTGCTTGGTGGCTGTTAAAGGGATGGGACGGGAGGGTCGTCCCACGGGTTTGCCAGGGGGTCGAAGGGTGAAAGACGAGGGGGCTGGCTGGCAGTCTGTGCTGCGGCCGGTCGATGCAGCAACGATGCCCGCAGCCGCAGCAGCAGCAGCAGCAGCCGCCGCCGCCACCAGCACCGAGCAACATCGCATTCGCGTAATACGACGCGACTCTGGCTGCCGTGGTGAGCGTAAAATGGTGGGGGGAGCAGCCGGGACGCGTTAGACCTGCGTGGTGGGGGTTGACACGGTCAAGGTCAGCCTCCGTTCCAAGGTCATGGGGAGATGTCATCTCAGGAGGGATCCGCGTGGTCTTCTCTCTCTCTCTCTCTCTCTCTCTCTCTCTCTCTCTCTCTTTCTCTTTCTCGCTTGCTCTTCACCGCGTCTTTACCTTCGTCCTTTCTCTAACACGTTTGAACGATAACATAGTTTTCTCCTCTCGCTGCCATTTCTCTCTCTTGCGACAATTACAGCGTAACTGAAACGTCTTTTGTTCCGATTCGCGTCTTGGACGTTTTTTTTTATTTTTCGGTCGTACGTCGCTGCTTTGCTTTTCTTTTTTGCGTCGTGGTTTCCAGAGATGCGAGGGTGGTTTCCATATTATTGACTTGCTCCATCCTGTGACGATTTTTATTGACAAAGTGAGAGTTGGCTGAAAGTTCGGAAGTATGCTGGAGAAGAGTGGCGATGGCTAAATTTACGGGCCAAATTTTCATTTTGTATCACTATCGTTATCTTCATTTTAGTAGATAAATCCGGCTACATGATGGTTACTCAGATTTGGCGCCATTATATTGTTTACATGTTGATTAATCAGGTCCAATTACGTTAAATTTCATAGCAAAAAGTAAAAAAGACGCTTCGTTGGAAAATAAATACGTGTGTGCCAGTACACATTTTCTAATCACCGTTGGTATACATTATACGTGAATTAGAGTGAATAATGGCTGGATTAAATTTTGGCCCGATTAATTTCAAAGGCTTCGGCTGTCGACAGTAGCGAGTGTAGACGGTGGATTTCGTTTTTAAACGAAACGGTGGAATCTTCCGCCGTCGAAATCGATTTTATTCGACAGCTCTGGCGTCAGCCGTAGAGCTGGAGGTCGCGTTAAGTCCCATTCCCACCGATTCGAGCATCGTTAATTAAATAACGCTGATCAATCCCTGTCTGAACGACCGGTCAATCAGTGATTTTATTTGCCAAGCATGTAAATCCATGTCCAGTTTGTTTGCTGGACCAGTTTCCAATTTTATCACGGGTTTCCGTCAAACGCCAAAAAAAAAAAAAAAAAAAAATCGTACCTCGTTCGTGCCGCTGTATCGCTGTTACAGAACACGCCTGGTGAGTCACAGGCTGACACTCCACCTCGATCGATTTTATCCTCACAGCGATATTCTACTTAGAATATGGAACGATTACACGTGCCGGAGGAAACCGTACGAATTTCAGAATTAGCGACAATTCCAAGCTGGGGGCCTCGAAATTGTCCAATCTGTGACATAGGACAATAAAAAGAGAAATGAAAAAGTGAGTTTCGAATCGGTAGGAGGGATTTTGAAAATTTTCAAGTTGTAATATAGAAAAGATTTTACAAGACAAGGGAAAATAATTTAAAGACATTGGATCGTTTCGATCAAGTGAGAAAACATCTAGAGTTCAAATAGCAGGATAGAGATTGGCAGATATTTCATAAGTCGTGTGTCATCTACGGTCAATTTATCCTGCATACCTCCATAGATTCTAACTCCCATTCATTTGTTTCGCTCGATACGTCTTCTGTATCATTTGCTGCATCAGAGTGCAACGCCGAAACGGCAGCGTGCACTACGTGTCCAACTTGTTGCAACCGTACAAATGAACCTTAACGCGATTCATCGTAATGTCGTTGGCGTTCTAAATACAAAATTTTAATGCTGAGGACGATTCAGTTTCACAAGTTTCTTTTTTACCAATAACAATTGTATATATATTTCTGATATTTTTGGAGGGGAGATATAATGCTGTAAAATTCAAAATTAATTTTACTGAGATAACAAATGTACAGAAGTAGTGCAGCTAATTTGGAATACTAAAGTATCTAAAAAAGTACCAAGATACAGACTAAGATGCAATTTGTAACACCAGCAATGGACAATTTAGAAACTTTGGTATTTACCACTATTTCAAATTACTGTGTGCACTGTAACAAAATCGTCAGTTAGACCAAAGTTTCAAACACTTTTCGAGATGTAACAGTTCATCAGTTTACTCCATAGTATTGATTCCATTCCATCGGTTTTTTTTTATTCGTCGTACAACAATCTGTTCCAAACGTTGCACTTCCTCTACATTTGTCATTTAATTAGTTAACAATTTATTCTTGAAGTACAATGTTGCGTGTATACACCATCGAGTGTAGGATTAACATGACAATCACTTTAAAGAGCTATCATCCTCTACAAATAGCTAAATTATATACCATGATAATCCATTATAATATTCCAGAGATTAATAATTCGAAATAAGATCATTTAATACCAAATCTTGATTTAATAGATGTACATACAAGACGCACGTTCATGATAAAAGACGGACGTATTAAACAAAATTAATAGTATTAAATAAAAACTTAGACTCTCAAGCGAGAAGATTTAGTTTTTATTTAATACGCCCGATTGACAAGAGCCGATACAATCTTCTTCTCCTTCTTCTTTCTCTTCTTTTCTAAACGAAGCCACTTCTCGCAAGCCAGCATTTGCAACAATATTTTCGTAGCGTCCGGTTCGCAAGTGTTCTAAAGCGGCGATTGTTCGTTGAAACGGAACACCTCTGAGAAGAATCTGACACGAGTGATCGCCTTCAGAATTGCACCGTCAATCTGCCAGTCAGCAGAAAAACGGCCTTTTGACGATCAATCATATTGCTCTGAATAACTTCGAGGTCGACCGAGCGAGATCAGATGGCCATTAACTGGCCGCCATTGTTGTACCAACTTTGCTCAAAAACCGTGTTTACTTTCGTTCGTAACTACGAAAAGTAACTTGATACCCGTAGGATTGAATTAACCTCTTGCGCTGGAATGACTTGCCACGCACGTCGAGAATCTTTTGTCCCAAAATTGCAATATTTCCTCAGTTTTAAGTATATTGAAATATAATCCAGGCGAAGCAAATAATAAATTTATTACTTCTCAATAATTTCTATCCAGTGAATATCATACCGACGAGTTCAAAAGAAGAAAGCGACAAATTATTGTGTACGGTTTGGTCGCTCGTTATGGTTCGCAATCAGTTGCCAGCGCAAGTGGTTAAAGAAGCCTTAACCTCTCTGCGCTGGAATGACGTGCCACGCACATCGAGAATCTTTTGTCCCAAAATTGCAATATTTCCTCAGTTTTAAGTATATTGAAATATAATCTAGGCGAAGCAAATAATAAATTTATTATTTCTCAATAATCTCTATCCAGTGAATATCATACCGACGAGTTCAAAAGAAGAAAGCGACAAATTATTGTGTACGGTTTTGGTCGCTCGTTATGGTCCGCAATCAGTTGCCAGCGCAAGTGGTTAAAGCCTTAACCTCTCTACGCTGGAATGACGTGCCACGCACGTCGAGAATCTTTTGTCCCAAAATTGCAATATTTCCTCAGTTTTAAGTATATTGAAATATAATCCAGGCGAAGCAAATAATAAATTTATTATTTCTCAATAATTTCTATCCAGTGAATATCATACCGACGAGTTCAAAAAGAAAGCGACGAATTATTGTATACGGTTTTGGTCGCTCGTTGTGGTCCGCAGTCAGTTGCCAGGTGGTTAATATTATGGTGGTTATTGCGCAAGTGGTTAATAACGTAGGAGACGGGGGAAGAAAAAAAAATATCACTTTCATGCGCGGCCGGAAGCAGTGAAAGACATTTCACTCTGTTGGTGAAATAAAAGGCGTCAATGGAGAAAATGATATATAATTAATTTGCTGTGTTAAACCGGATATTAAACTTTAAATATTTAATATATTGAATCTCTTGTTTCTGACGACCGTTTTGCCAACATGATGTTCGACTAAAATGGTACCTCTCTTTCTCTCACGCTGACACTTGATATCAGCTTCATTTTCATTTTCATCGTTACCAGCGGGATCACTTCAAAAATTGTGATATCTTGTTGCAAGTACTCGCGTAACTACTTGCGTTACTTTTGTGCGTTTGCATAACAAACAGATGCAGATTTCTTTGAAATCTCGAATTTTCAAATTCCCCATTCTGATTTCTGATCTCTCGAATTCTTGAACTTTCCATGTCCCCAAGTCTCAATTCTCCTTTGAAGATTTTCGGAACATCGAGTTTCGCGAATGCTCGAATTTTTATACTCTGCAGACTCTCCGACTCTTAAACTCCGCAATTTCGCAACGGTATTTGGGATATTACCTGAACGAGATTCCTGGCTGGTAAATGGCGGCGAAGGATTACAAAGGCAGTGTGGTTCCCCCTTTGGCCCGTTAGCCAAAAATAAACAGCACTGCCGAAACAGCAGGTCCGATAATCGATTCACCTATATCCTCTCGTGTACTACTCTTACAATATTTCGAGACGAGTCACCACCGGTCGAAGCGTGAACCGTCGACGTGATTCGAGGACGTATTTCTTCCATCGGCCAACCGGTGCGCCAAGGGAGATAACATTAACAACCGATCTTGCTTGTGTTTCGGTGCTTTTGTAGCGTGACACAAAAGGGAGAGGCCAGAAAAATCAGATCTGCTGGTACATACAATAATATACTATACTGGTACGTACTATATGGTACGTGCATGTGTGGTATGTGTACGAAGATCGACCGTAACTATCGACTGACTCGAAGGCCAGTCGATTATCAGGATTGAATCATCGCTCGTGGGCCAACTCCCTTCTCATCTTGATCGATGTCGTAAATCCAACGATCTTGTTCCAACGAGTTGCCTTAACGCCGGCTCTCGTCTCGTCAAATTGTCAAGCAACGACGTAGATTTATTTCACTGCTGGAAGTATCATGTTACGACAGCACGTTGATACGTTGCAGTGCGCGTATGTTTATTAATAAATTTAATAAATTTATAGTAAATTTTTTATTAATAAATTTGTTTTATTATAGTAAATTTATAGTAAATTTATGGTAAATTTTTTATCAATAAATTTATGTTTTATTATAGTAAATTTATAGTAAGTTTTTTACTAATAAATTTATGTCTTATTATAATAAATTTACAGTAAATTTAAGGTAAATTCTTCATTAATAAATTCGTGGTAAAATGAAATCGGTAATTGCTATCCAATTTTGTTTATTATGGTAGACGAACGTTGCATCTGACCAAGGTGAGGAGAGAGTCAATGTTACACACCTTTTTATATCATTTTTACTTTATTTTTAGAAGAGTATTTGAATCGTCGTCGTTGAATGAAAGAGAACGTGGCTAAATTTGATATCCCGTGTTATTTTTTTTTTTTTTTTTTGTCTACCTTCCAATTTAATAATCACGATCATTTCCCAGAGGGATAAAAACAGAAATTCTACACGCTTGCAAAGATATAGAAATAATTACTTGGTAAGGCGGGAATGAAGTTCCCCTTGTTAACACGGTGGAAATTTGTCATTCCTGCCGGGCAGTTTATGGTACGGGGCTTAGGAAGTTTCGAATTCGTTTTATTCGGCTTATTGTTGGAGAAATCGTATCTCAGCCTCCGCACTGCCGTATCGTTTATCTAGAGTGCTCCTCCAAGTCGATATAATAGCCTCTGGTAATAGTTTGAGAAACTTTAAATCCTAGAGAGCATCTGGTAATACTATATAGGTCAGGCGCCCAGTAACGATTAAGGCCGCGACCTTGGCCGGCAACTGCAACCGTGCAACACTTTTTCCATCCCCTACGAATTCGACTAAATTCGACTAAATGGTAATTATATTTATAGCCACTTTCAATAGGTCCGCGACTATAGTTATAACGTATAACTAGTACAGTACGATCACATCTTAGATTGGCTTCGACCATTTCGCCCCGATGGAACGAATAAATTTAGATTTCTGGCTATTATTCTGATATAATTGATTTATTATTTAATAAATATCGTTCAACGCTTCAAACCGTTCTTCCGTTCTTGCTGTTGATTTTAATATGCACCAGTAGTTACAGCTTTGTAGCTTTCAATATTTATTGCACGATGTAAAATATCGACTTTGACAGAATCAGGTTGTGCCAGAGTATCAGGGAAGTTACACCTTGAAGCTGTTACAACTTGCGATAGAGAAGCTTCGGAAGCTCTGCATATTCCGTAAAGAAAGAAAATTTGAGGAAAATTTAACCTAAAGTTCTAAATTAAAATATTCGAATGAATAACAGAGAAATTAGAAATGCGCGTGATTAAGAAAGAAACTTCAAATGTTTGGAAATTAGAATCGAATAGCTTCAGTGCGTATGAATATTGTATTTTATTATATAATATCACGTGCTATATAGAGAAATGAAGTAGATCGTGCACAGTAATAGTCAGACAATAGGACCGCAATCTATTTACAGTGGAATCGTATAATGATCATTTTCCCGTATTAACAACGAATATATACATCATAGTGACAAAATACTGAAGTGACAATAATCATCCCCTGCGATCTCCTTTGGGACAAATAACATCGTTCCTAAAAGCAGAAATGCATGACGAAACGCAAAGCAAGTTGAGCTAATAATATTCCCACTTTGCTCGCGTCACATTGGTCATTTTGCAAATTTCTACGTTAAACCGATTCGTCTAATTCGCTTTATCTCGATCACCAGGCACGGAACGTGTCGCCAGATGAATGTTAAGGTATCAGGAACGATTTTCAATCTTCTTAGAGGAGACGACGAATTCGTAATGCGAGATCGCCAATGGAAACTTGGTAATTGGGTCCTCGTCCAAAGAGAAACGGGCGACGGAAAGAGGGAAAAATTCTAAAGTTCGAAGTTGCACAATCCTTCAAGGAAGGAGACCGTGCCTGACAGTAGGTCATCTTCCATTGCCGGGTGCTGAGGTAATTCGAGTAATTTATACGGACAACTCGAGCAGATTGCTGGCGAACCTAATAATTTCCTCTTTCTGTCCAAGATACCTGCGTACGTCGCCATTTCACGTCGTCTCGCCATTATTTTTACTAATGAAACACCCTCCCCCCCTCTCTGCTGCCCGCGTCTCGATTATTCTTGTGTCTCCAATTCGAGGAAATATTGGATTTCCAGGAAACGGTGTGTCTTTCTTATTTTCGTGGTAGTTTATTTGTCCGGAAAAGAAAGAAATTGAAGAAATGAAGTGAAAATGAAAAGTGACTTGAAGAGATATTTAATGACAGTTATAACTATCAACTAACGATAGTATAGCAATTATAATAATAGTTGTAACAAGATGGTACAGTAGTTGTAATAATAAACTGCGTTATTTGAGAGCGAACTTGGCAAATTCTCGTCCTTGTCTTAATTGCAAGTACATTTAGACACACTTGTCCACTTTAGAATTTCGGTGCCGTGTATGTGTTTTTATCTCCAAAAGATCATTAAATAAGGAAGAAATAAAAACGCGGTAGCTTGTCTAAAGCTGCAGTAGCGTAATTTTGTAACCTTGGTGAAGTAAAGAGTCTTTGAGAGTGAACTTGTTATACAAATGCAACGTGCAGCCTGGCTTCTAACCCATTGTGTTGTTAAACCGTTTATACGAGAAATTTCATTCTAAAATTATTATTTAATTTAAAATCTGGCAGTCGTATATGAAGCTTTCGAATATTTGAAATTTTATTATTATGAAATATAATATTTCATTATTCAAGTAAAAGGCTGCCATTTGGAATTATAAAGTATATATTAGTTAAATGAAATCGTAAAATCTGTAAGAAGTCTAACAAACAGGTATAATTTAACGTACACGTGATCCAACCTACTGCATCAAATTGCAATTCAGCGGAGACTAGCAAGAGTGCCCAGGCTGTATTTAGTCGGCGTAATAGTTTCTTTAACGACCTAATCAACGTGGCTGCCGTAAACTCTAATTACTGGTTAAACTGTGCGTCTGTAGCAAGATGACTGTGATTTTATCGTTTAAACGGACTTTTTGAATACATCATGTGAAAGTCCATCGTGTTTCACTTTGCTATCACATTACGCTTAACTTTACTTGTTTAAATCCTAATCTTTAAAAATATTCCTTTCGTTACTTTAAACGTTAATTGCTGTTTTTATTTTTAAATTTTCCTAGTAACAGATATCAATGACGATGGAGCTATAAAATTTTATTACATTTTTCCAACATATTTCTACTGAAAAAAATGAATTACTACTTTAGCATATGATATTTCGAGTTTCCACAAATATAAATTTATGTTACAATTTATTATTCATCAATATTTCCTCCTAAAATAGAAAAATAGAAAATTGCTAAAATTGACTGACTGACGTAATCTATTATGAATTTTTACTATAACTAATAAATTATAGAATTATAGAACTATTGAGTAACTCTCTCAGTTGGATCGTTCTCACGAAAAATTTCCGTACATTCTTCAATTTTCATTATTTTTTTTTTTTTTTCTTTCCTTCGTTTGCCGAAATCGTTACATAACCGCGTGCCACCCATGCTGGTATCACGTTTTGGACAGAAACACAATGAACTCGTTAACGCGGCCGATTGACAGCGTCCAATTTCAGCGGCTTGCCGGATTGCGTAACGTGTGTCCATAGGAGACCAGTAAGATAATAAAGAATCTTTGGAAAACGGCCGTTCTTGGGAGCCGCGACGTTGCGTCAGACGTTGGCCAACATTATCCATTTAATCTGATAAATGACGTCGGGTTAATCAGGCAATGGCGAACGAAACGCAACGCGCCGCCGGATGCAAGGCACGTACTCTCCACGCGCGTGATCCTCATCCTCGGTTTGGCTTTCCTCCTTGTCCGCTGCCTTCCCATCCCATCTTGCTCCTTCGCTTTGCGCCGTGACCTATTTCGGCCAGACGCGAAGATGGAGGAGGAAACTGGCGAAAATGGCAGGGCAAGAAGCCTAGGAGATCAGTAAAACACGTATACATAAACGAATGACTTCTCGTGATGAGTCGTTTCTTAGAGGATCACCTTGTATGATTTTTGATGGATGAGAATCTTCTTATGCGAGGGTCCTCTTGCTCGATTGAGTTGATGTTATTAGTGTACAAGACACACGTGTATTTTTAAGTATATATTTGAATTACATGTTATACTTTACAATATATACGTGTAATTCGAAAAGCAAATACTCGAGATTAGAAGCGGTTCTTTAAGATTGTTGATTAGTACATCGGTACTAATCTAATCCAGCACCGGTGATAATGTCGAGCAATCTTTGTATTGTGTTAAAAGAGGTGTAAATGCGTTCATTTGCCAGAACATGGCTGGTTTTCATGAGCTAACAACGAAAGACAGTCATATTGTATTTTCATAGTTTAAAATCCATGGTATATGGAAAAATTTTGTGTACGATAGTATCGAAACTAAATATAGATGATTCATTGCTCCAGGAAAATATTCTTCTAAGAACTGTTATTTTATGTCTTCGCCGCTTTGCTTCTTATCGGACTACGTTTGTCTTGTTCGTAATTTTTCTCGAAAATGCGTAACGTCCAAGCAAAAAACATAAGTAGAAACAGATGCAGGCTTCGGTAAGAAGGATCAGTTGATTTATTCGCAAAAAAGTATACGTACATATAAACGTATATGTATATATATATTTACATATAAAATTCATTCTTATTTATAAACTTTTTTTTATTGTTAAATTTATCCTTAAAATCGTTTATGTCCTTGTCGAAACCAGCCAGGAATTTTTTCCGATGTAGCAGACGTGTAGTGTCCGCGAGAGCGCGGTACCACCTGACGAACGAAGACGGTTTACGATTGGTCGATTCGCGGGCGGCCAACCAATCGTTTGATAGCTTTGGTATGGCGCGTTGTGCCGGTTACCGGCTTTCGCACTGGTTCGGCTGCTGGCCCGTGGCTTGGTTCGTTCGCCAGCAATTGCGCGCAAAGTGAGAAAAATCAACAGCGAATAACGTATATGTCTCTCCGCGAGATAAAAGACGAACGCGAATCCCGATCTCGGCGAAGAAAACAAACAAGAAATTCTCTTCTCACGGGCAGACAGAGACAGATAGAGAAAAATACGACACGAAAGTGGTGATCCCGCGTAGAAGGAAGGAAACGAGGAAAAAAAGTAAACAGCGAAAAAACGAAAATGGAGACGTGCACGCGACACCGGGCGACAGAACGAGAAAGAGCGGAGGAACGCTTGTGTGAAAGCGAGATAGTATGATGGAAGAACTGCTCAAGAGAGAGAAAGAAGCGGCAGAGCGCGAGAAGGACACATCGATGAAAAAGGGGGGCACAGTGGTGCGGTGCCGGCTGCCTTCGTCGAGTCGACAGTTTGGCGTTCGGTGTTGCTAGGCGCGAGGGCCACTGTCAGTGCCAAGGCGGCAGCCGGCAACCTTCTCGTGCGACCGCGAATTGTGCCACATATTTTTCTTCGCTTTCGCTCGCCAGCTCGTTCCTTGCTGTTTTCCACACTGGAACACATTTTCTCATTTTGCTTCGTTGTTCTTCGCCGAGCCAATGCTCCCATCGAGAACGCGGGATTTTTCGGGACTGTTCCAACCGGCACCCGGCTGGTCTTTGTGGGTTGTCTCTCTTTGGCAGCACTGCGTCGTCGTCGTCGTCGTAGTGATGCTGCGTCTGCGTGCGTGTGTGCGTGAAAAGCCGAACCAAGAACATGGAGACAGGCGAATTTCAATAAAGTGACGAATGATCGTGGAACTATCTGTCCGACTGTCCTGCGAGCCCACATGATTTCGCCACTCTGTGGGAATACCGCTTTCGATGGAACCGACCAGGTAGATATCAGATTATCTCTTGTGAAAGTTACCAGAACGAGATGGAATTTGAACGGTAGCACGTTTATATCTCTTGCAACAAGTTAATGAGTTCGTTATCTACAACGAGCCGTTAACTTCGCAAATCGAATTCGTCTATAGATATTTCGAATCTCCGGCAATCTTATCGAAATTTTCGCGACAATATGTTATATACGCGTAGAAATTCGTGTGCGTAGTAATGATTCGAAAGAGCCAATGAAACGCGTGACATTTAGGCGCGCGATTCCATCCGGCTGTTATTCTCTTTATTAGACGAGTCTATTTTAATATCTGTACATACGTTTACGTCACTTTTTAACAATAGAATTGCAAAATGATTTTCTGTAAAATAAATTCTCATACAGAGGCATGGAAATAGGTGAATACAGATGAATTATGGAACAGCGGAAAATAATTTTACCACGTGTTGCATATCGAATCCTGCCGGTGGAAAGCGCATAGAAATTGCAACTACATTCAAATACTAATGCGACACGTTTTTGTTGTACCTTATCGCGCAACTGAATATCTCTTGCAACGTATTTTCAACAGCCTCGCGTGAAATAATACCGACACACACGAATATGAGATCAATGATTAATAATTTCGATTTCCTCGAACTTGTTGCGTCTTATCTCGCTCACGTTCGATAGTCATTGAATAAGCTTTCTTCCGATCAGAAACTTTTCAATAGTATCTACGCGTCGATATATATGATATTCGAACAATAAATTATTTAGCAGCATAAATGAGACCACTCAATGTCCAACACAGATGTATTATGTTACTGATCGACTAGTTATCGAAAAAGTAAACAAGATATTAAATTACATTTTGTCACAGATGCCTAGAAACGAAGTATAAAAATAAAACAGTCATAGCTATTTCTTTGAAGTAACCTTTATTTGCAACAGATGATATTTCAGTTTTTGTATACCTGTCGTAAAATTTTTTCGTTACTGTTGTGCTATCAACCAATTAATAGTTCGTTTCATCAACATTGACGTAATATCGTGATATCGTTAATACGAGATTCGATATGTATGTATCGTTTCTATACGACTTCGATTTCGCGTCGTTTTATTGGCACACGTATGGTACACATGCGCATTTACTTTGTAGTAAAATATATATACTACGTAGCTCGCGCAGATTACCTTTAATTTGCTTCTGAATCATTCTAGAATCTTTCTAAGTATCTTACGTTGACGATACGAATTATTGGTTTCCGTCAGAGAGGTTATGTTTTTAGCAAAACTTGTTTACATTCTACTTTTAGTCCAAATTCCTTAAACCGAGGATTAACAAACGCAAATTCAATATCTTTTATCCGACGTGTGTAATCAGTATATCATGAAGCAGCAAAGGGTTAAGGAAAACGAGCGTAATAAATCAAGCGACGATTCTACGTACGCGGGATGAAACTGCGCAAACGTATGCGCGGTTTACGTCTCTCTGTGAATCAATGCTTGAATTTTCACTGTTTTTCCCTCCTTTCCGAAACTATCAGCGTCAAAATACCAATAATTTTCTTTTAATTTCTTGATTTGAATGTCATATAAAGCCGCTTTCTTCTTTTGAACTCGTCGGTATGATATTCACTGGATAGAAATTATTGAGAAGTAATAAATTTATTATTTGCTTCGCCTGGATTATATTTCAATATACTTAAAACTGAGGAAATATTGCAATTTTGGGACAAAAGATTCTCGACGTGCGTGGCACGTCATTCCAGCGCAGAGGTTAAGGCTTTTTTAACCACTTGCGCTGGCAACTGACTGCGGACCATAACGAGCGACCAAAACCGTATACAATAATT